TAGGGGTCCAGACCCTGCCTGGGAGTGGCTGTGTGGAACGTCTTGCCAGAACGTGGGATGTGAATGGTCATTTCAGTCTAACCAAGTGAGTCTGACAGGGTTTGGAAGAGGCTCTGATTATTCCCAGACTGAGGTCGGGCAGGTGGAGCCGGGTCCCTGCCACGTGCTAATAGAGTCGTCAGCAGCCCAGGAAATGGACCGCTGGGCCCGGTATCTGTAGTAAAGCAGATGAGTCAACAAAAGAACCGAGAGAGAAGAGACAACAAGGAGAAGGCTTCCAGGTAGCTTGGGAATGGATCTGAATTTCAGACATATGCGTTTCAGGCTGGAGACAACAGGTAGAAGGAGGCGTTCTCAGGAAGGGTTGGATGGAAATTCGAGCACCATTTCTAGCAGAGGAAACAGAGAGGGGGAGTTCTTTCAAGAGGTATTATAATTCTATCCTATTCACTAATCCCTCCGAGGACCAGGCACTTTGCTAGGTGCTCGGGATAAAAAGAGGGGTATGATTTGGCTGTGCCGCGGGGGGCTTGCGTGGCCGAGAAGACCAATATGTAAATAGATCATTGTAATACAGCATGACAGGGATCTACTCGGGAGAGGATTTTTTAATGTATGATAACAGCATAGCAGAGAGTAATTAATTCATTCCTGGGGACTTGGGGGAGAGGAGGTCACTTTCAAACTATGCAGAAAGGAGACAAGGGAAGCCAAATTTATTTTTTTAAGTTGAACGACATAAAATTAACATTCAACATAAAAATGTCCATTTCATGTGGTCTGACCTAACATGGAGAGAGGGAATGGTGTCCAGGTCTCCTCCCCTTCACCTGCTCCCATCAGATGATAGTTAATTGCCTGCTAGCTGTGTTGAGAATGATTCTGAGGATCACAGACCTGTGAGAGATGATCATATTGAAATGGATTAATGACACCTACCCTGGGTAAGGGATGGGTAGAGGGTGGTATAAATTGAACCTAGTTGCCATCCTTAAATTTCAAGGAGTTTAATAAGCAAAGGCACAGAAGTCTAAGCAGTGTAGGCTATCACCACGGTGCAGGTTACAGTTCAGGGTGGGTGGAGGTAGGTGATTTAGGTTGAAGGCTGGGAGAAGGTAGAAAACACAATTCAGGGGGTTCATGTTGAGTCTGTGTGTATCCTATTATCTATTCAACTTATATTTTACAAGAAACATCCATTACCCACTCCTGCTCCCCCCAAAGCATAGAGGTTACAGTGTTCTCTGATGCTCCCCTTTTGTTGAATTCAAAGCTTCCTTTTAAGAAAAGATCACAAAGGACTAAGGGAATATACAATAAGTACTTTGCAAATTAAACTGGAGGATGTTTCCCCCTAAA